ATCCATTACTAACACTTGTTTTATAATCCATTCCTCCTTGAAACATATACATTCCTTGGCTTTAGAAATTAATACTTCATTAAAAAAAAGACTATGATATTTTAATTTCCAAAGATATTTATAAGTTGCTTACTCAAATAAAAAGAAAACAGAGAGCTTCAGTTAATTGTCAAGATATGTAAACAAAACCAAAATGCTACATTAAATATAAACATTGAGTTCACATTAAATTATTTATTGAACACATTGAAGATGACATCCGTTTTTATTACAGTCCTCCATTATCTTATATCATCAACACATAGTTATGAGACCTGCATTTGAAAAGTGAATAGAAATATGAAAATGTCTTTCCCCAACCCAAGAAAAACAGAAAAAAAGAAATTTATAATTAGCTTTAAAGCACAAAATTTTATGAATTATATGTATTTTTGTAAATTAAGAATGACAACATAGCTAAATTTAATTTATCTTTCTGGAAATGTAAATTTAAGATAGCAAAAAATTGCTCATAAAACTAACAAATCTGGAGTTTCACTGTATTTCAAGGTTGTACGATATTTCTATCATTAGTTTTCAGCTTACCTAATCAAGTGACAAATGTTTACCATACTATGTATTTTTTTTATAAAAGTATATCATCTTACTTAGATTTATATGATGAAAACAAATTGAATCCATGTTTTCCTTTCAATATATGCACTTTAAAATGATACAAAAAATTCACATGAACACCCTTCCCTATATTGTATATCCAGAAAAACATATGGCATAGTATTTTTAAATCAGATATAATATCCAAGATTGTAAATATCCTAAGGAATTAAATCAAGTATGTAAATAATCATTATTAATTTTTGCCCCAGCCACAGCACAGGAAAAAATGTACATCTCTATTAGTATAAAGAGATACCATTTAAAAAGTTCACATCTTATGCATATACCAAAAAAGCTAAATAAAGAATCTTGCATACTAAAAGAATTATTCTTAAGTCAAAATTTAGTAGTCCAGAAACTCTTTGAAAGAAAGCTAATTGATGGTGACCTGCCCTTTTCTAGAAACTGTCATTGTTTACTTAAACAATGGAATTGGTAAAATACACTTACTATTTCTTGGAATTTTAAAAGGGGGTTCAGATAACTTTATTGGACTAAATTTGCAACTTTAAGATAACTAGTTTGATCAATTATTTGAAACTATAAAAATATTTTTCACACAAACAAAAAAAAGCACAATGGACATTAAAAGAAACAAGAAAATTAAGACATTTTAATAATAATGGCTATTTCTATACTTTGGGAAAGTGTATAGGGTAATATTCCCAGAGAGCACTAAAAGATAAGAGAAAAAAAACCTACAGAAAAATCCTGAAAGTCTGTTCTGTGACCAATATCCATAACCAAATTACTAAGGTAATTAACATTTTGAAGCTATTGAGACTGAGGTCTCCTTGTAGGTCCCACTCATACCCCAATCTCCAGAGTCATGCACTTTTGTGGAGTTTATATATTCGTCTTCAACATACATTATTGAACTAAAACTTTAGCTTAATTTTTCTTAGACAACTTTGATCATAGTTTTAATGCTTTAATACTAGATTTAAAGGGTTCTTGGGCCATGATTTTAGGGAAGACATTTTAATTTTTCTCTCAAACAAGCCTTAAATTTTCTAAAAGATGTGCCTTTTATCCTGGATGAAAGAATTAAACAACAAAACTGCATCCTTAGGGTCCTGCATATTAAAATTGGCAGGCGGACCGCAGCCTTGGTCTCAGTTTCTGCTTTCTGCTATCCTTCTTTCTGCTGTGAAGGTGATCAATCACAGGAATTCTAACTGCCATCAATACCCCTTTGTAACTGCAATGGTTCAACTGAACTCCTTCCATCTTCAATAACTGACACAGTGTCAACATCTGCTTCCAATAAAGTTGTTTCTTTTTTCTCAAGCAGAGTAAATCTGCTGACTGAGATCTTAAAGGGTTCTGGTTTTTTCTTTTTTCTCCCCTTTACATGTGGACAATTTTTTTCCACCATATTTTGCAATTTTTCCTCCAAGGCAAGTAGAAAAAAAAATTGAATAGTTTCAAAAAAGATGTTTTTATTCCAGGTGCTAAAGAAGCCCAAAATATAGCAGGAAAATATAAATTTTGGTGATTTAATAAGCTTGTTGCCTTAATTTTGAAGAAAATAATCCATAAGATCCTAGATGAATAAAATTTTGGAATATGAAAGAAAACTCAGAGTTGAACCTACATACCATTGAAAGGTTATTTTCCTTCATAAATGGCGCACTCAAATACTAAAGATAATTAAGAATTTTACATTTTATCTTCAACACCTAGTAGAAGGCAAAGATTCTCCTTAATTTGTTATTAATTCTGTTGCAGAAATGGGTATGGGAAGTAAAGAGAGAGGACATTTGGGAGATTAGTTTTATGATCTACTTAATCAACTGATAGACGTTTGTGGTAGCTGTTATTTATTGAACATCTACTATGACCCAATGATTGATTATAAATATATATGATTTCCAACCTTCACAGCCTGCAAGTAGGTACTGTTATCCCACTTTGCTCATGAGATAAATGAAACCCCAAATCACACATATTTAATTGTGGCTAACCCAGAATTCAGAGAATAACCTAATGCCTAACCCAATGCTCTTTTCCATTAATTCATTCTACTTCTTAATTCATACCCCCGTCAGAACTCTAACATAAACACTTTCCTTTTCCACAAGTTAATGCCATTGCCCCATTGACTTAATTCAGCTAATATTACCAAGAAAGTGACACTTGGTAAGAAATAAAATGCAGTTTCTTGAAATAGAGTTTCTGATTGCCCCTTTAATTACAAATGTAACATTAAACCAGACAGTAAATGTAAAAGTTAGATTCTGTCATATATCCTACAGGTCTTAGAGTAGGAATGGGCAAATACTACTTGCATACTGAACGAGTTCCTCAAAGGCATGTTTTATGCCAGTTCCTAGAATGTGTTTCTTTTTAAGTTTTTTTATAAAGTTAAAGAAGTTAATTCCTCAATTATTTGTCATCCACTAGTTCTCATTTGCAAAATTCAAAGCAGTCCTGACCATTTTTGCTTAAAATAATATTGTAAGTAATTTTAAAAGGAAAGAGAAAGAAGGAAAAACAGAGAGGGAAGTTAGGAGTGAATGGTTAAACTTCTTAAGAAGAAACATTGAATTTTTAAAAGTTTAGAATTCTTTTCAAATAAATGAGGAACCAATAACCTGTTAGGATCAAACTTATCACTATTATGTTGTTCCTTAGCTCATGATAGTTTAGGTTGAAGCATTAATTAGATGCCGAATACATTGGGTAATTTTCTAGGGTCTAGCTCTCAGCTCTTTAGGAAGCTTGAATAAATTATAAAATAGTCAAAGGTAGAATGGTTGCACAGGAAATTGAAGAGGGGGTGGTAGTTCTCAATAAAGCAGTTTGGAAGACTCTAAGTTCAACAGCATCATTTTGATGTGAGAAAACCAGACCCAAAGTGTGCTGGCATTTTAAACCTAAAATAAATTCAGAATACTAGGCTAAATTACAACTCCTCCTCTTTGATAACTTATGGTGGTAACAGTAATGTGATGATACCAAGGGGTGCCAGGCAATTACAGACATGCACTCGCTCCCTTTTCGCTTAGATTTGACCCACTCCTTGTACGTACAGGATCTAATCTTTGCTGTGCCTGTTCAACACCTAGGCCTGTCCTCACAAACCTTTCCTGTGTACAGCAGAATTTAAGTCCCCAACTTTTCTTGGACCCCCCGAGCCAAGGAATATTTTTTCCTATGGTTGCCAGGAGTGACCCAGAACACAGCCTCAATTCAGGGTGAAGCTGTCTAATTGTCTGCTCCTTCAGTTCAATTCAGAGGGGCATAAGGAGAGGAGCAGAGAGCTCCTACATTTCTTCTCCTAACTGGGAAAAAAACGATTGAATGATTTAAATGAGTCGGTGTACAACACCGGTCTCAGAGACACTGGAAAGGAAGTTAATAGGTTCCCAGGGAAGAAGAGAAAAATAAATAATCCTCAGTGAGTCATCCCACGGGAACTACTGAATACTTGTCTTGGAAAACTCAGGAGGGCTCAAGATGAAACCAATTTTATAGATTGATTCAACTCTGTGTTCCACAGATTTGGGCAAATTACAAACAACTGTAATATATCAAATTGTGAATCAAAACGTGGATAATGTATCCAAGCCAGGCCCCAGAAATCTAAGTTCAGGTCCTTAGGAAGTAGACGATACCTTAGGTTTGGACCCCACATTAGGTAAAAGTGTGCATATCGTGCTAGGGAAGGTCTGATTAGGAAGCAGCAAT